TCGTTCGCAAAACGAACGCTCCCCGCTAACACTGAATAGAATCCAACCTAAGTCAAGTGCTTGTGGCAGCGAGGTACTCAATTCGAGAGCACTTGAGCAAACCCTGCACGCATATAACGAGCCAGAGGGGCACGGCGGTATATATCCATCCCTTATCCATTAGTTGCTGAACTCACGTAAAATCGATAGCACTTACGCTAGCGACGAGCTCGAGCTTTGTGGCTGAAATTTAGCGCTTCGTGCTGAGCCGCGACGCGCGTGCATAGCGGTGCGGTGAGTAGGGTCAGAGGCACGTACGAGGATTTCGGTGCGAATGCTCGGCCCATTTGTGAACAGTTCAGTGCGTTGTTCATCGCTACTCCTGATATTCTAGTAGATTCCGCTTTTTCATTGAATCAGATATCTTTTCATCGAAATCTGTGCAAATGGGTGCCCGAAATTTCGATTTCTCACACAAGAATATGGCTTATCTGCAAAAGCTTTTCACTCTGGTTTTTCTTCTCTTGAAGCAGTAACTATTTAAGCACTTTTCAGAGCATGCAAGCCCTCTACCAGCTTACTGGAACTACTGGACAGTCCTTCCAGACTCAGGCCCTGGGAATGGGTCTGATTCCAGGAGTTCCTGCTCTTTTCCAACACATCCACACTGCTCAGCATCCACAGCTTATGGCCGTTTCTGCAGGTATTTCATCACTTATTGTTTATTATTCGTTTTGCTCTAGGAGTTGTTTAATATATTACGCTTGCTATTAATGCATCAGATGCGTGCAAATGCTTTCTCGTTCTATATTTGTAAAAGTCTCTAACCTTTTTAAAATTATTTTGCGACTATCAATCTTTTTCTTTAAGCGTGAAGATGCGTGAAATCCTCTCTCAATGTATGGTAAAAGTCGAGAATTTCAGTATACAGACGAACGCTCTCAATAACAGTTTATCTGGTCTAACCGCGAAAGGATGTAGGTAGCAGTTACAACAACGCTGTTTATATCATTATGTACATCATCTTTGTGGTCACGTTTGAATATAACTCACGGCTGCAAAACTATGTCCTTTGTATTAGAAAAAACTTGCCGAAGCAGGTTTTTGCGTAGTTAAAAGGACTGGTAAAATTATGTCGTCTTTTGCGCAGCCCTTTCTCCCATATAACTAAAAAAAACAAAGTTTTGCAGCTTAGAGTTTCCTGTTTATCTAACATATCCCAATGAAAAATAAGGTCAATATACAAACCTTGCAAGTAGGATATAGATTTACGAATTACTTTTCTTTGCAGCTTGTGAAAGCCGGTAAAAGGGAAGAATAGATATGCACCATACAACTTTAATTTATCATACAGTCGGTGTTCCTTCAAAAGTGCAGTGGTTTCGCTGTATTAATTAGACAGGCGAAGCAATATTGTTTATCTTGCCGAACTTTCTCAAGCAAATTTTTATCTACTTTTGGAAAGTGAACGATGATATCTTCGAGCGAGTGATTTTTCTGTTTCTCACTTTCTTAGGTTGCTTTTTATCAAATCTCTGATTTTCTGAGGAAATTTATCTCAGTTTCTATAGTTGAGTTAGGTTGCGTATTGTATGCAATTTTTTTCCATGTGGATGTTGGATGATATCTTAGATTAAATGCAGATATATTGAATCTCCTTAGCCGCGTTGAAAGGTGGTGTGCTCTCATAACAATGGCAGTTACAACCACCGCAATCACCAGTTGATTCTTGGTTAGGGAAAAGAAATAAATCTTATCACTTGTTATTTCTAGCTTTCTGCATACCAGATCCTAATTATATCTTTATGCAACATTCACTAAACATAAGCTCGATTGTCTTACGTGAATTTTCTTTTAGCGAATTTATCTTTTAGAGGGCTACTGTGAAACTGATATATCGCTCCTTGTATAGCTATCGTACAAAATTTTTCATTGCAGTTTTTTGCTTCCTACTTTTTTCTGTTTGAGCTGTTGTAAATTGCGTAAACGAAGAAATTAGGCTTTAAGACAAGTTGATAAGTAAACGCTCAACTTCTGAAATTTCTCTGCTGGAGAATCGATTTGAGAATAGGCTCAGAAGAGAATATAGGTACTCAAAAAACTGCTCTCACATCGAAATAGCTTTGGATTGAATGCATTTAGGTTTCTTACTATGAGTATAGATTAGTGGTAATCTTGTGCGAATAATTGTACATCGACATCGATCTCCGAGTACGTATATCCTATACAATGCAATCTTCAATTTATTTCCTGCAGGAGTACGCTAATTTTAGTAGTGAAATTCTATTTTGTCATCTTCAAATTGGTATCGCTTCTTATGCATTGCAGAAGGCATTGTAATCCGCATTCCATCATATAGTTTTTTACAGCGGCAAACCGTCTCTGGCCTCTCAAAATACTTTCATTTTTATTTGACAATTTTTCAATCACTTAAAAGCTATGATCATTATAAAATATATTTTAGCAAATCTCCAAGCGCAACATAGCTTACTTTTGTCCAGCGGCTCTTCGGTGGCAAATAACCAGTTGGAGTCTAATGAGAAGCATAAGGTAAGCGCATTCATTCTGTCTAAAAGTTTTCTGATGTTTTTTGGCTTCATAATCGCAGAATTTTTACATTTTGTGCCTAATCTTTCTTAGATCTTAGATGCTAGATCTTAGATGGCGTCTTCACTTATCGTACAGGCCACAGCACTGTTTCCATCCGTTTCTGTCTCTCGTCGGCGTCATCCACAATATTGGTATCGAACTGCGGCGGCGACGTTCGCGAGGTCCAGATCCTGCGAAGTCCGACGAAATCTTGAGTGCGTCGGTTGTACTTCAGAAGACGTCGTTTCAGCGCTTTTTGGGTTGTTCGGAGAGAGTTTGACGTAGCCACAGTGTCAGGCCACGTCTCTGCTGCGTAGCAGAGCACAGGGAGAACAGTTGAATCGAAAAGGTGGGCTTGGAGCTCTGGGTCCGTCAGCTGGTCTGTGGCTTCGTTTAGGGGCCGAAGGCAGCCCAAGCTGCTTTTCGCTTCCTGTTTAGTTCTTCTTTCAGACGGTTCTCCATGTTCATCGAATGCCCGAGATATATGTAAGAAGACTTCTCCGAGATTGGAGAGCCTTCTAATTCCATTTCTTGATCCTCGCAAAATGCTTTCTTCATGAACTGAGTCTTCTTCCGGTTGATTCGCAGTCCTATCCGTCCCTACTTCGTTTAGTCTTCAACATCGTCTCCGCTTCAGTAATATTTCTCGAGAAGGGAGCAATTTCGTCCGCAAAACGAAGGTTCGAGAGGAATCTCCATCGATTCGTATACCTCCTTTGTATCTAAGTCAAGCTTTGCGTGTAATAGTTAAGTATTTCACTTTTTTTTTTACAAACAGATTTGAAAGTGAAATATCGACTGTTTAAGATCTTGAATTTGGAAACATATATTTTAAACTCTGCTTCCATCACATGGACATTTAGAACTAGTATTTGACATATTCCTTTGAGTGAAGACATCTGTCGTATGGTAGGCAATCAACAGATGTTATTTCTTAGTATGGAAGTATGGAAATTATACATTGGGAATCCTAGAATTTTTCTTTTGAATATTCGAATATCTGGTTTGAAAACTGAACCTTTCGAATATTCGAATTTCCGAATAATTTGAATATCAAAATCTCCGTATCTGGAAACCGTTCCGAATATATATCCGAATATTCATTTGAATACTTTTGGAATGAAATTAATTTTCCATATTAACTTTGCATTCAAATTCAGTAATATTTTCAGAGGCGCCATTGCCGCACTTCATTTTTTCGTCTAACCAACAAGTCATGAGTCAAAATTAAGAGAAAATCAATCTAGCTTAGGATCACATCAAAAATTTTTGTAGTTTACGACTTCTCTAAGCTCACTCTAACAACTTAGCATGCAGTTTGAACTTAGGAAAGTGATCATCAAGCAACGGCTATCGGATACGTCCCTGCATAAGCTCCACGTTCAGTTTTTCCTACATTTCCATCTATTTGTGATCATGGCACCCGATGCAACTATGAGCCGTTGATTTTGTGGTCTTTGAAATCTAAAGCGTGACGCAGGTCCTTTTCCAGAGGCGCTCAGTACAAGCCCAAGCTCTGGGTGTGTCAGGATAACTATATGTCTTCTAGTCTTCTAGTGATCATCTATAATGTGTAATCCCAATCGGAACCTTGCTTCATAGTTTCAACAGCTGAGTGAGCTCGACACATGGTGTATGTGGCGGAGCCTTCACGCTTTAGTAATGATGCTTCTAACAAGATTGTAACAACTCTAGCTCAGATGAGATGCAGTTTGTTAGAATAGAAATGACCCTCAACAAGTTCCAGATCCCACAACAACAACTGCAGAATTGGGGATTTGAGCCCAAATCTTTCGTACTACATACATCATTACATTCGAATGTTTGAATTTCAAGGTTAGAATATTCGAGTATCCAATGGACAACCGAATATGCGATTTCTCAAATAATTCAAAAAATAAAAGATCGCGTATTTTTGAATAGTTGAATTATTCGAAAATTTTGAACTTCAAATATTCGAATTTTCATATCATTTGAAAATTCTGAATTTCAAGTATTCGAACTTCGAGTGACAAATCGAATGTTTTGTTCGAATGATCGAATATTGTTCGATTCGGTCCAATGTATAATCTGAATGCGCATTTAGGAGGAGCAGCAAGCAGAATTCGATCTTCAGCTGCAAATTCAGCAACAGTTGGCCGGAATTGGCCCTCAGCTGCCGTCATCTCATACGCAAGTAGCATCTA